TGACTTTTTTCCTCCTTCTTCTTCTGAAAACTACACTATATATTCTTCTCTCAAATTCTTTTGCCTTTCACTACCTACCTATTGCTAAGGCTATAGAGAGGGTCCCCCTGCAAACATGGCTACCTCTCACAGTAAGGGGGATATTGCCTTTTTTTTTTTTTCTTCTTCTGAAAACTACACTATATTCTTCTCTCAAATTCTTTTGGCTTTCACTACCTACCTACTGCTGAGGCTATAGAGAGGATCCCCCTGCAAACATGGAGGCCTCTCCCAGTAAGGGGGATATTGCCTTCGTTTCCCCCCCCCCCCCCCCCCCCCTGAAACCTACACTATATTCTTCTCTCAAATTGTTTTGCCTTTCACTACCTACCTACTGCTAAGGCTATAGAGAGGGTCCCCCTGCCAACATGTCTACCTGTCACGGGAAGGGGGATATTGCATGGTGCCCCTTGCCCTGGTGATTAAGGGGTTCAGGGTTGAGGCCCCCAGTGGGGGGTCCAGCTAACACAAAAAACGAGCATTTTGCTAGCAGCTGCACCTCCCTTTTCATCGTCCTCCACCTCCTGCATCAAGGAGCAGCAGTGTCTAATGCCAACGCTCTCCCACACACCACTTACAACCCGCTCACGCTCACGCCCATGTTGGCGAAAGACCCCTACTACCTTCTTCTCCCGAATACAACGTACGGTCATTATAGCTGTATCTAGACTGGAAGATGCCTCAAATACTAATGACCGTACGTTGTATTCGGGGGAGGAAGGTAACACCCAATCGGCGGCATAGTTCAGTTTGTTAGGCACGCAAGTGGCATTGAGGAGGTTGTGGGGTCAAGCCCAATGACCGCCTTCCGCACACTTAGTGCCAAACAGCTGGTAGGTAGAATCCTTTTCCTTTGTTTTTTTTGTTGTTTTTTTTTTCCCCAAAAAGCTATGTAGGATCTTTTTTGCACTCCCTACGATATGCTATTGGAAAAGAAATGTAAATTTTAATTTTTAAATCTGTTACTTTGAATATGGGGCTCTGGTTTTAGTTGCCCCCTTCTCACCACTACCGTCTTCACCTGAATAGAATGCCCGGTCATTATAGCTGTGCATTTGGCCCAACTTTCAGTCCAGAATACAGATGCAGCAATAATGACCGGGTGTTCTATTCGGGTGGAAGACGGTAGATGGACCCTCAGTGGAGGGACAAAAGTAAAAATAACCGAAAAGTTAAAAGAGTAGACTTTGTTGCGAGTCCTCCCTCCCCCTTGCACACTCTGAAAATCGATGGACCCCGCTTGTACCTGTGCTAAAGGACTCTCGGTAGTTTCGACGCTCAGCCTCCGGGTGTGTTGTAATGGTGTTGCACTCTTCGATAGGACTCGAATTTCGGCGGAGTCCTCCGCCTGCAAGGTCTTGAAAATTGATGGACCTCCATTTTTATTTTTATTTTGTTTCGTGTTTCCCCCCCCCCCCCTTTTTTCCTTTTTTCTTCTTTTTCTTTTCCATCATTGTACCTGTGCTGAGTGGAAATTTGGGCCTCGGATTGTGTATGTAAGTAAGCGTATTGCACTCTTTGATAGGACTCGAATTTTGGACCTCGCTTGTACCTGTGCTAAGCGGTGGAAGCTTTGGACAGTCGGCCTCCGGTTTTTGTGTAAGGGTCTTGCTCCACTACTCTCAATTCAGGGCGTACTCACACTAGCACTATCGTAACTGTATGTATCCGATCGCAATTGTGGATGCACCAGTATGCACCTGGCCGCAATTCCCTCGAGAAATAAGTAAAAAAGTGCTTATGTGAGTATGCCCTCACCTGGATGGGTAGTGAGTGACCTGTAGATCTGAGAAAAGAATTGACGAGTAGTAGTCAGAAAAGGCTCCTTCTGGAGGGACAGATGCAAGGACATCCCGAACGAACGAACAAAAAAAAAAAAAAGTACCTACCTATTTCGGTGAGTTGTCCACCTGCAGGCCCCTAAAAATTGATGGACCTCGCTCGCACCCGCACCCACACCGGCACTGAGCGTAGAGGTTTTGACGGTCGGCCTGACGTTGGGACCCAGCTGTCAGTATTCTTTCTTTGTCGTCATGTGCTAAGCAGAACGCCGAGTCATGTTGGAGAGTAGTGAGTGGAGCGAGCGAGAACACCAAAACTCGGTTCTTGAGAGTCGGACAACGCTCGACCTACTCTCGATTTTTCAAGTGGAATAGAGAGTAGAGGGAGACCCTAAGGGCCGAGTAGAGGAAGACTGTGGCATACTGATACCACACGAGCCCCAGTCAGGGCCCAGTTCTGTAGTAGGCACGGGTTAGGCCTAGGTACCAGGTCACGACGGTGCCAGCCAGGGCCAGGTAGGCCTAGGAACCGTCGGTTCAGATTAGAGTCCGGTAGGCCTTAGTTTAGACCCCACCAGACCCGACGGCTAGTTGGGTTAGGCCACGTACCGGTCCATCGGTAGGATCGGCCGGCGGCGCAGTTTAGGCGCCACTTTACTTTCAGATTTCGGAATCGGATCTGAATCGTTGGGGCTGATCAACGGTCCAGACCCGAAGGCACCAGTAGTACTGAGGCCGGGCCAGCACTATATGAGCTGGGTACCAGCCTCAGGTGGAAGGTTAGTCTACAGGTTAGTCTGGGATTGCGTCTCAGCGTGAGAATAGCGGAGCGGCGAGGAGGATTAGCGCAGCAGCGGTTGGCACCAGCGCTCTGGCTAAGCACACCGCCCAGCGCCAGCACTGCAGCGCCATAGCTGCATCGCCGAGCTCTGTCCAGCGGACTTCAGCAGAGCCGGCGCGACCACCCAGGTATCAGGGAGAAAGGCTTCGTTTTTCCTCCCTCTTCCTCTTTCTCCTCCTCCCCTCCTCCGCTTCTTTCTCCTCCTACCCTCTAAGAGTCTAAGTCCACTTCTTGGGTTACTCCTACTGGACTACTACAAGTATGAGGGATGGTTACGAGTTCAGATGATATTGGAGATAGCAACATTGAGGCTGCAGGTGGAGGAGTACTTTTGGGATCGGACTTCATCTACCTCTGGAGATGTATCTTGACATTGTGAGATCGATATCTGAGACACTGTGAGACTCTGTATTCGCGACATTTCGGATTCTCACTACGCTCTGACATTTCGAGGTACTATTTTTGGAAATGCTGAGTTGACGTCATCTTCCCTCTCATCCTCCCTTCGTCTCTCCTCCCCTTCATTCATCTGTGTATGAGAGCTGACCCTGGTCTTTTCTTCCATGTCCAAGGCCAGGGCTTTCACACCACCGATGTATGTTTGTGAGGGATTCGTTGCAGTCTGAGTCAGGTTTGAGTCGGTCCATGTGTATCAAGTCTTCCTCTGTAACTGTACTTACTCTGTATTATCTGGTCGGTTCTGGAAATCTGCGCCATACTTATGACTGTGTTTCACGAGTATGTAACAGAGACCCTAAGGGTTGAGTAGAGGGAGACCTTAAGGGCCGAGTAGAGTGAGACCCTAAGGGCCTTGCCACACGGCACATAAATAGAAAAAAAAAAAAGCAAATGCAAGATCAGTCCGTTACTATGAATAATAACGAATGTGTTTTTTTTGCCACCACCTGCTGTGGGCACATAGGGCGTGACTACACTACTCTACAAATGTGTGAAATAGAGAGTAGAGGGAGACCCTAAGGGCCGAGTATATGGAGAGCCTAAGGGCCGAGTAGAGGGAGACCCTAAGGGCCCAGTAGAGGGAGACCCTAAGGGCCGAGTAGAGGGAGACCCTAAGGGCCGAGTAGATGGAGACCCTAAGGGCCGAGTAGAGGGAGACCCTAAGGGCCTCTCCACACGGCACAAAAAAAGAAAAGAAAAAGAAAAAAGCAAATGCAAGATTCGTCCGTTACAATGAATAGTAACCAATGTGTTTTTGTGCCCCCACGTGCTGTGGGCACATAGGGCGTGGCTCCGCTACGCGACAAATGTGCGAAATGAGAATGGCTCCACTATTCTCCAAATGTGCAAAAAATGAGACTGAGTCCTCCGGTAGAACATGGAAAGCTACATTGCTCTATTGCTCTACTTTTTTGTCTTTTGTGCATGTGGAGAGTAGTGGAGCAAGGTCCATACACATGTTTCTTTTTGCATTTCCTGTGCTATGTGACGAGTCCCTAAGGTCGGCAAAAGATATGGAGGTGCTGCTGCTGCTGCTGCTGCTTTTTTTTGTTTTTGTTTTGCTGCTGTATTCTAGAAAAGGGTGCATGCAGCGCTGTTGTGTGACGTCGTGAAATTATTTCGGTTTTTTATGCGTTCGTCTGCTTCGGTCCTCCTCAGTGGCCCCCACTTCTGGGGCGAGGTCCCACTAGCGAAGAGAACTAGATGAAGTGCCTGAATATGGATGTGTTTTATGCAGAGGTGCAGAAAACCAGATCAACCCCGATTTTCTGCACTTCTTCACGAACACGTCTAGATTCAGGCATACAATCCAGCCCTCCTTGTCAGTGGGACCTCTCCCCGGTGTAGAGATGCCATATCCTTTATGGGCCCCTCGCTGCACCCCTCACCGAATGCACAAAAGACAAATTATGGCGGTGTATCTGGCCATGTTTTAGCAGAAGACTCTTTCTCATTTTGCACAAGGTGAGTGGTGCAGCAAGGCCTTATATATTGTGTGTGCTGTGCAGGGCATACTGGCATGTCTAAGCCTTTTTCGATGTCACTGTCCGTGTAGTTGCAGCGCCAGATGCATCCAGCGCTGACTATAATTGCAGTCAAATACATCCAGAACTGGCTATAATTGCGTTTGAGCCATCCAGAGAAGGCCTGGTGTGAGCATGCCCACAGCTATGTTTCCTGGTTTTCAACTTTTATCAAATTTATTATTTATTGTTGTTATTATTATTATGCAGTAATTATGGACAACAACTGTGGTCTTTGCAGACGTGTTGTTAAGAGTGTTAAAGAGGTGGTATGAGGAGACAGAGTGGGAGAGAAGGCTCAACAGAGCAGAATTGAAGTCGTATTTGTACTCTGTGGTACTTGGTGGGACACTGCAGGACTCTGTGGGACTTTGTGGGACACCGTGGGTCGTGCTGGACTTTGTGGGACACTGCAGGACTCTGTGGGACTTTGTGGGAGATTGCAGGCTGTGTGTGACTTTGTGGGACACTTCGGGCCATTAGCAACGGCGGAATGCGATGGCCCTGCGAAGTACATTGACGAAGTCAGGGAATAACAGAGTACTGTATTATGCAAGACTGTGTTATTCGCGATCGGGGTGTGAATCGACCGTGAGAGAGGGTGACGGATGGATAGGTGCTCTGCTCCCTTCTTCTTCCTCTGCCACTTCAAGCAGAAGCTTTCGCACGTACCTGAGAGGTCTGCAGTTCGAACCCGAGGCCAGCTTGACAGGCCGCCTCCTATCTGCAGGCGCGGGACGATGCGTGCCGCCTCACCCGCAGCAGCGAATGCAGCAGCAACAGCAGAGACGATCTGATGCAGACTTCATCACCACCACCACTACTCAGCAACACCAACAGAAGCTACAGTCAGTGCAGCAGAAGCAGCAGCAGCAGCAGAAGAGGAGTTATGCTGATGATTGTTCTGTAAAGAGACCGACACGAGTTTTGAACATTGTGTCGGATTCGGAGTATCAAAAGGTATTGGCAGCTGCACAAGAAGCAGAGAGACTGGCAGTGGTGGATTTCACCGCTAGCTGGTGCAGACCTTGCCGACAGATTGCGCCGGTGTTTGAGAAGTTGAGTAGCGAATACAAAGATGTGGATTTTATAAAGTTAGATATTGACGAGCCGGAGCTCGATGTTTCGGTTCGGAATGCTCAAATCCGGGGAGTCCCAACTTTTCAATTCTATAAAGGCGGGGTGAAGGTAGCTGAGTTCTCGGGAGCAGATCCCAGTAAACTGACTGATATGGTGTCCTTGCTCCATAAAAAACAATGAACAGAGTTTTTCTGAGAGAGAGAGAGAGAGAGAGAGAGAGAGAGAGAGAGAGAGAATAGGTAGGTGGGTAGGTAGGTAGGTGAAAAGCCGCTGCGGCTATGTTTTGGTTCGTGTCTCTTTCTTCCACTTTGTTGCCGTGTGTGCAGTAAATGGACAGCAGCTGTATTTTTTTTTCTTTTTTTAACAGCAGCTGGTTTCATTACTGCTTGAAGTTTAGATATGGCAAATCCCTCTTCTTTTCTTGTTTCGTAACTTTTGTTTTGTCTGGTAATGCGTTTTTACCTTCAAGGCTTTCCCTCCCCCTTTTTCTTTTCGGTTATCCCTCCCTCCCTCCTTACCTCCTAGGCGATTGGTGTAGTGTTACACCTTTAATTTTCTTTTTGATTTGCCTACTTCTGATTTATTTTGCCATGTCGTGTTCTGGTTTTGTTCTTTATTCTTTTCTCTGTGTTGTGATTTTGGACCTCGCTCCACTACTCTAGACATGTGCAAAACGAGAGTGAATCTTCCGCTAGAACATGGAAAGATACATGGCCATGATTTGTCATTTGTGCATATTGAGAGTGGTGGAGCGAAGCCCTTTGTTCCTTTTTTCGAGCGTGAGTTTTTTCATTTCGACTTTCTCACGGCATGCTAAGCTATGGACGTGATTGTGGTCAGATTCATCCAGGACTGGTCGTAATTGCAGTCAGATGCAACTAGGAAAACACTTGTGTGAGCCTGCCCTCTGCATCTCTTCATTGCATTGTCATGACCTGTCGAGCGCATCGGCTCTTGCCTTTTCGCAAAGGCGAGAGCCCTCCCGACCATGTCACGCAGGAGTATAAGAAAACAAAACTACGAAAACCACAAGAGACAACTTGGACAAAACGCAAAATAACCTGGCGAACCACATCTGACGACCGTGGTCGCATTGTCACTTCGCCGCTCTAGCAGGGTGCGCCAGCTGTGCTTCCCGTTGTCCCCTACGACAGGATAGGTTCCCGTGGGGCACAACTTACCTTCGGAGCCGGCCTTGTTATCGGGTTGGAGTGGACCTGATTCATCGGGGGTGGTACTTTGCCGACTCGGTGGTGACGGCCCAACCTTTTGAGATCCGGGTCTTTGGGCTCGGGCGAGAGGAAGGAGTATCCACATGCCACTTCCTAGAGGGTTGGGCACGTGAGGGCGCAGTGTGGGCCAGCCCTCGCCGAATCCTGGGCGACGTATGGGCTGATTAACTGTCTTGCGGTTGGCCACCTTAGGTGCCACCGTTAGAATAAAAAGCTGGAGGCATAAGAAGCTCCAGCCTGCAAGAAAGAGTAGGTAATGACGATGATGGTTCTCTTTGCGCAATGATAATGACTGCGGCTTTGTTTTGAATATCTTGATGATGGAGGTGGATACTTCATCATTCGAGGAACGGAAAAAGTAATTCTTGCCCAGGAGGACAAAGCAACCAACAAATCTTTTATTCGCAAGATGATACCTTCCTCCAAGCAGGCTGCATATGTTGTGGAGGTGTGGTTAAACCGAGAGTTCAAACTTTGGCCAAGAACCTGATCACTTGTTGATCTGCATTGTAGCAGTGAAATTTATTTGCGGAAGTCATTCATGGTCGGGAGGGCTCTCGCTTTTGCAAAAAGGCGGGAGCCGATGTCGAGCGGGTGTGGCCACGGAGGGACAGGACCGGAACCGCGCCTGGCAAACCGACGCGGGACCCATAGGGAAAGCAGCGTAGGGGCGCAAAAAGCAAGTGCTGCGCTAAGGCCACGTGCGGGTGCGAAAAGTAAGCGCCGCGCTAAGGCCACGCGTGAATGCAAAAAGCAAGCGCCGCGCTAAGGCCATGCCAGCAAAGCGAAGCGGGGCCCCATGCAGGAAAAGCGGCAGTGGGGCAGGGCGTGAAAAACCATCGCTACGTGAAAAGACAAACGAGGGCAGGTGTAAAAAGCAAGCGTCAAGTGTGTGGGCAAGGCACAAAAAGCAAGCGCATCGGCCATGCAACGTGCGAGTCCCGTCTGCACGTAGGGCGAGATGGGGTCTGGTGACGGGTGGTCGGTGAGGGTGATCGTCGCAACGCAACGGCCAACAGGTATGTCTCCAACCCCGTGGCTGGCCTCAAGGGTCACGCTACTTCCATCAATAGGATGAGCAAAATTGAATGAATTTTCCGCTAGAACATGAAATTATACACAAGTAATAATTTAAAAAAAGGAAAAAAGAAAAAGAACATGGATATACACTACTACACGTGTGTGTGTGTGTGTGTGTGTGTGTGTGTGTGTGTGTGT